GGTGTGCAATGAATCTGAAATATATGAAAGTTTCATTTTTATCATTACATTATGGAAAATAATGAACTTTATCACAATATGCTAATTTTTTGAGAAGGACTTGTATCTTACATTTGTCAATTAAATGTGAGCATTGTTGTTTCATTAAACTGTTTTTTTATTGGTTGCATCATTGATCAGGAAACTAAAGCAAATTAAAGCAAAGCAATTGGCGTTTATTTAAGCTTATATACTTACTCAAATTACTAGTTGTATTTATGTTAAAACTCAGTTAGCTGCACACTCTTATTGTTTTTTGTTAGCTCTATAGAGGAGTATTTTATGCCTAAACTGCACAAGAAGTGAAACTTTTTAATGTAAGGACTTGTTTTGTTCAGTTTTTTATTTATTTTTGATCCATGATTACAATTAACACAGATGTCTAGTCAAAGTCTAAATACATGAGATTTTTCATAATTTGAGTCAACCTTATTTTATCCTCTAAGTGGTTCATCATATCACCCAACTTTCACGTTTCTCCCTTTGCATTGTATCTTCCTAAAATATTTCAAGCTCAGAATCTGATTTTCATCTCAAAGTGAGACATTTCCCCCTAACAAGTGAGGTACTTCCAGATTTCCATGGCTTTACTTTAATCCCAACTTCTTTTCATCTGCAAGTCATTTTACACATTGTTTCCTCTCAGATCAATAAAGCCTTTATGGCAAGAGCCGAATACTTTGTGCTTCTTTTGTTTCCACACAACAGCTTTCAGTATGTTCCCTCTGGAGATGCAGTGAATTAACAAAAGCAAATTATGCAAAAGAATAATCTCTGCTGTCAAATCTCCTTCATGAGTCTGTTTCAGGATGGAGATTTTAGTCTTATTCTGCTTTAATCCAGGGAATGCTTTTTCTTGTGCAGCGTTGACTTTGTTTTCCTTTTGTGATTTGCATTTAATGTTTTTTAAAAAAAAATCCAAGTTAGATTAAAAAATAAATGTGTTGTACAATATAAATTACATATTTCACTTGTAGCATTCTATCCATCCATCATTTTTACCCGCTTCTTCCTTTCCTGGTCTTGGGGTCACTGAGAGAGGTGGGGGACACCCTGGACAGGTCTCCGGTCCATCACAGGGCCACTTAGAGACAAACAACCATTCACTCTCACTGACACACACCTGGGGACGATTTAAACTGACCATTTATCCTAACACGCATGTTTTTTCTATAAACAGAAATAACAAACAAGTAACAAATGTTGAGAGAAGCATTTTGTGACAGACCGGTCTCACATCAGTTCTGTTTTATTTTTATCTTCAGTTCATTGCAGAGTTTGATTTGCGCTCGGTGCAGTACGAGGTTAAATCTTCTCGCTGCCATGAGATGCGTCTTGCGGCTCCGCCTCACGACTGTATCCGCTTCAACTTCCGCTGTGACCGAGAGGCTGAGGAGTGGGCCACTGTGGTGATGTCATCACTGACGGAGGCCCACAGAGGTCAGTTTAACACCATTTTCTCTCTGCTTGATTCAAGAGAATACATATGTAAACATAAACGATTAATGTCAAACTTTAGGATGAAACACTATTAGGTGTAGACTCGGTGATGTTAACGCAGCAGAAAGAAAAAACAACTTACATCTGTAGTTGTTCACACTACATTCATTGATGAAAAACATGTTCATCAGCAAGAGCAGCCAAAATAAACCCTGAGCTCATGTTACAAACTACACTTGCAAGCACTTTAGTAACACTTCTCCTTGTCTGTCGTCAAACAGTTGCAAATATGATCACGTGTGATTCAGATGGCAAACAGAACAGCACAGCTGCAGCAACGGAGCCGTGGAGCTCAGCCTCTCTGCCGCTCTGTGGTGAGTAACTTGGTTTATTACAAGTGTGCTCTGACCATAACATTCTCCAAGGCTTCATCGTGTGAATGTTTATGAAGCATTCACACTATTGTGATCCATTTTTCTTCTGTACATTTTTTGGCATCTTTCTCGTTCCACAATTTTTGTGCCATTTCAACAAATCGTATATCAACATGTGCAGCTTTTTCAGAACATGCTATGACTTTTGGTATTGGTGCAACTTTAGCTTTTTGAAATATTTAGCCTTTTCTGCCACTTTTTTTTCTCCGAAAATGAATTGAGCTCATTTTGCCTCCTTCAACTCTTTAGATCTGTTTACAACCTTTTACTGCTCCTTTCACATTTTGTTCTGGTTCAGCTTCTTTCAGCTTCCTTGTGCAAAATTAAACTTTTGTTCAGCTACTTTCAGCTGTTTTTTTTTCCTGCTTTCTGATTCTGTCTGCTAGCTACAACATTTTGTGCTTCTTCTAACTTCTTTCTGCTAATTTCAGCTTATGCTCCTTTCAGCTTATTCTACGTTTCAGCCTTTTTTGCTATTTCAGCTAATATTTAGCGATTTTTATGCTAATTTTAGCTTTTTCAGCTAATTCCACATTTGTTGCACTAATTTCAACTTCTGTCAGCCTAATTTATCAAAAAAATGTGCTCTCTCCACTTCCTTCTGGTAATTTAAGCTTCTTTCTAACTTTTAAAGTACTTTTCAGCTGTTTGTTTGTTTGTTTTTTTGTGCTAATTTCAGCTTTTTTCAGCTAATTTCCACTTTTTTGTGCTCATTTCTGCTTCTTTCAGCCTAATTTGGCAAACATGTTATTTCTGCTTTCTTCTGCTAATTCAAGCTTGTTCTACCTGTTAGGCTACATTTTTAGCATTTTCTAGCTAATTTTGACTGTTTTCAGATAAATTCAAGTTTGTTGTGATAATTTCTCCAACTTTCAGCCCAATTAACTTCTTTCTGATAATTTCAGCTTGTTATGCTCCTTTCAGCTTAATTATGTTTGTTTCAGCACTATTTCACTATTTCAACATTTAGCTGTTTTATGCTAATTTTAGCTTTTTCAGCTAATTTCACATTTTTGTGCTACTTGTAATTTCAGCTCTTTCTGCTTCCTTCTGGTAGTTTAAGCGTCTTTCTGCCTTTCAGCTACTTTTCAGCCTTTTTTTTTTTATTTCAGCCCTTTTTTTTTGCTAATTTCCTACTTTTTGTGCTAATTTCTGCTTATTTAAACATATTTCAGCAAACATTCTTTCTGCTTTCTTCTGCTAATTCAGGCTTGTTCTTCCATTTCAGTTCCATTTCAACATGTCTTAGCTAATTTCACTTGTTTCTCGGCAAGTTCTTCAATAAGCATTCACACTACATTTTTGCAGGAGATGCAATTTCTCTAGTTGTTGTTGCATTTGTCCTTCAGAGGAGCTGTGTTTAGAGCTTGCGAGGGCAATTGAAGCAGGTGATGCTCAGGCTGCCTCCCAGCATGCATCTGCACTGGCTCGACAAAAAGCAGCGCTGACAGTACAACCGTCTCAGAAAAACTACACGGATGGGGAAATCAAGTGAGAATTGAAAGGGACTGATAACTGATATAAAATCAATAGTATTAATGGCATTTTAAATGTTATGTTGTGTGTTAAGTTACAGTGAAATATTTGTGTTTCAGTCTGTCTGTGGTGGTGGAGGATGCTTCGTCTTCCT